GCTTGCCTGAGGAGGGGATTGTCATGTCTAGCGGCTACGTCAAATCGTTTCTCCGCGTTTTGTCTTATTGTCTGTGTAGCGTTTGTGTATTGTAAGTCTCGTAATATGTCAGTGTTTCTTACGTACCAGGGCGCGTCGGTGGCCGTGCGGAGGGCTATGTTTTCCACAGCCTGTAATGACTTTAAGTGGCTTTTTGCCGCGTGACCCCACGCCGTGGAGGCGTAGGTTAGCTGCGGTTGAAGTACCACCTTGATAAGCGTTCGCTTATTCCTTAAACTGAGGGTGTTTCCACCTTTGAGTAAGGGATAGAGCCTAGCCCTGGTGGTCTTCGCTCGCGCCACCGTCTCCACGATGTGCGGTTTCCACGTGAGACGCTGGTCCATCGTCACGCCCAGGTATCGTGTTTGTCGATTCCAGGAGATAGGTTCCTGGGATAGTGTCAGTCTGTCGAGGTTTAATGGGAAAATGAATCATAGCGCGTGCGTATAATATACAAAGTGCAACACCCCCACTTTTTGGCTTCAATTCCCTTTCAAAATGTTTTGTATAGTATAGAAGTATGTGGGCCCAGGCCGCCCAAAAAAATTGAACTAAAGATAGCCGAGACGATAATGATGATTACTTTATAATCTACCGCAGGTAAAACAGATGCCAATTTGCGCGGACTTTAGAAAATACATTCTAAGGGTCGCCATTATTCTATGGCTAGAAATTGGCCTCAATGATTTGGGATCGAGGGGGATTATCCCTCTTTATCCTGCCTCATCTCGTGTAGGCCTGGACAGCCTTCGTAGGTGGGCCCCATCNAAATCTGTAGTCAGTTTTAACCGGTTTTAACCTGGGATCTAGTTTCCAAGAAAAAAAAATTGTAACCTGTATATTTAAAAGCATGTTTTTGTTTATCTGTTATTATTCCTTGGTATTCAATTCGTCGTTTCCATTCCGTTTCGTCATACGCTATTTTCCGAATTTCTCCCTACAGTGTAGGAAAGTACCGATGGTCTATCAGAAGTTACGTGAGAGCGATAAAGTAAGCCATAGATTTCTATGTGAAATAAGATCCACTTCTTATTTGTGGAAGGGCGAAATGGGCGTTGACTATTAGACGCCTTCATTATAGCCATCCTTGTCTATCACATGGATTTCTATGGCTTACTTTATCGCTCTCACGTAACTTCTGATAGACCATCGGTACTTTCCTACACTGTA